TGAACTCTTGCTGATGACAGAGTATCATTTGATTTGCCACCGACTTGTATAATCTTGTATAAAGAGAAGAGCCTCATCTTTTTACCATGGATGGACCATACCTACCAGTTGAAGACTCTTATTGTTGACACTCTGTCAGATTAATCTGTAATTGCTATAGCATTGGCTTTCTCTCCTCTCACCTAGGAGCTGAGTCCATGTATCAAGCCCAGAAAAGGACCAATTTTTGTTGTTGTTTACTGAGATAGTTAAAAAGTAACCTAAATCTACTCACAGTGATGAACTTATAATGTAATTAAACCTTCCTTATTGGGAGTTAATTTATTTATATAAACCCATCAGTTTATATACATTTTGAAATCTACATACGGTCAACAGCTATTTTTAGTAAACAGACAATGGGTAAATTCCTGCAGTCCTAATCGGTGTTTTACCTAAAGATTTGATTGCAGGATTTGATCAAATAAAAATCTTATAATTTGAAGAATGTACGGTTAAAAACGTTTTCATTCTGTTTGTGAATAAGCCTTTCATTTTGCAAATTATCAGGTTTAGATTTCTATAAAGATCATTCTATACTTGCATTAGTGAAGCAATTTAACTTTTGAAAACAATTAGTGAGCTTTGCTAAGTAAAAGCGAAGACACCTGCCAAGCACAAACAATTGTAAAATGTTAAACTTTGTATCCAAACATTTATTAATATTTGTTATCAGTTCTGATCCTTTTTTGACTTAGTTTCTTATTGCATACTTATTGGAACCCCCTGGTAGATTTGTTTACCTTTCTAGTAGAGAAAAGGTGGTGAGTCCAGAGTACATGGATTACTAACTAATTTAGCTCAGAACCTCTATTTATCATTTTAAAATATTATTTACTGGTAAAATTCTGCTTTAAAAAACAGACACTCACAAGTAACTATTGTTTGAGTTGTTATATTAACAACTCAAACAATAAGAAACACATGTAATGTAACCCCAGGACATGTCCCTGGTCTCATTTATTCTAGAATAGCTGGATGTTTGGTACACAAACACTCATTTCCATGGCAAGTCAGGTCCTGCATTTGGTGTTACCTCTTAAAGGTCATATTTTAAGGACTTTAAAAATAAAAGTGATGTTCTCTAGAATTGTAAATCCATTACTTCTAAATGGGAAATATATCCATGGTCTGGTAAACGAACAGCTTTAGTTTAAAACTTCTAAGTTTTAGTTTAAACTGCTAGGTTAAAATTTTTAAAACTTCCCTGCCAGTTTATATGGCGCTGCTCCATTGAAGTCAACGGAGCTGTGCCCATTGACCCCAGCAAAATTTTTATCCTTTTGGATTTAAACTGCAGTATTCAAAACTGAAACACAAAATCTTCCCTTCCGTGTGCCCCTGATAAACCTGGTAAGGAAACTATTCAGAATCCCAGTGCTGCTGAGAAACACACTAAAACTATTGTAAGGGTTAAAGTGCCTGTTTTATAGGCAACTTCCCGCTTTTACGGTTGTTTGAGAATGATATGAGATTATTTTTCAGAGAAGTTCAGTTAGTAATAAATAATCATTAAAATGTGACCTTTGGCTGGGCTACATGGCAGCTCAGTTCCATGCTGTATGAGCTTATGCAGTGATTATTCTAATCCAAGCCATACTCACAATGTTAGTGACATCTGGAGAGGCTCCATTCTGCAGCAGGAGGAGGACTATATTCAAGTGGCCCATAAATGCAGCCACATGTATTGGTGTGAGGCCAGACTGTGAAACAAAGCAACAGCAGTTTTACTCCTCTGCACAGGGGCTGAGGGGCTTCTTCATTTAAATAAAACATGACTAAGAAGATATGGAGAGAGGGAGAAGAAGAAAAGGGAGAAGAGAAGGAATGTTTTTTTAGGAGTTGAAACACTGTTCTACCTCTGTTATAGCCTGGATTGAAGCCCCATATTTCACCAGGAGTTCCATGACTTTGATGCGGTTTTTCTTGCAGGCAATGTGCAGTGGAGTAAAACCATTCTGTGCAAAAAACAATTCTGTTAGCTAAAAACATGCAGCTACAGTTCCCACACAGCTCCAGGCTGGCACACTGCAAGCAGTAGTGTTAGAATATCAGACGCCATTGTTCCTCAGTCATAGTAGGCTCTGAGATATAGAAAAAAAACCCCAAGTCATCTTAATGGGCTGCTATTTCCTTAATACACAACAGTCTCCAAGGCTTTCTGCCCACATATTGGAGAAAAACATATAAACTAACAAAACACGGACATTCTCCTTTTGACAGTCAAGAACATACTAGAAAGCAAATATAAAACCATCCATTTGGGAACAGCTTACATATATTGTGGAGCCTGCCTCACGTGAAAAAACAAATCATATATTAAAAGATGATGGTGATAAAAACCAACAGATGCTTCCAAAATTATCTACTGTCATTTAAAAAATAGGGGGCAGGATACTTAACTGCTTGCCTTTCTCCTAGATCACATCTCATTTTTCTATTCTCCTTTAAAAAAGACTCTCTGACCTATGTGTCTATATCTATGTATGTCCAAATGTATGCAGTATATCTACTGTATATTTTATATGCAGGTGAATACATGCATTCACTAAGAGGCAGCTTGTACTAACGCTTTCTACTGAGCATAATCCTTACTACCATTAAGAAATCTATTCGCTTCCATGGAACTACTCCTGGTAATAGGATCTAGGACCCCAGTTTAACAAAGCATTTATGCATGTGCATGAGTACATCCCTATTTGACTTAAGCATATCCTTAACTTCAAGTCCATGTTTAAGTCCCTTTAAAGTCTATGGGGCGTAAGCATATGCCTAACATTAAGCAAATGCTTACATTCTTTGCTGAGTAGTGATGGATGCTGAATTGGGACCTAGGCTGGACAACAAAGCCTTGAAAGATCAGGACCACAGTGTTTACTTTTTTAAGTAGACACTTGCTGAAAAATACAAATTTTTTTTTAATGCAAAGCAAGAACGTGTTAGATAATCATTGGTTTTTCTAATGAAAAAGGTCAGAATTGCTAGTGCTCAACTAGAAGTACAGCTAGTTAATCGGTGAGAGAGAGGAGGAGAGCAGCTGCTAGAGTGACAGGTTACTCCATAGCTAGTCTCTGTTAAAATAAATGTTACTTATAGGTTGACATTAATATGTTTTAAAACACAATAATTAAAACAACTGAGAACATATGTAGGGCTTTATATCTTCAAAGTGCTGTACAAACATTAACTAATTAAGTGCTTCAAGAATATTTATCTCAAAATGAATTATTCATAAAGCTTATTCCATCACTTTACTTGCTAGAGATACTATGTAGAATAGTAAATTAACTAGTCCAGATAGCTTTAAATGTTAGCCTGGAATAGCTAGGCTTAGATATGGCTCAACACAAGCTTGGTCCGTGCTTCTAGCTGGCATTGCTCAGATGTCCTAGAGTTGCCCTCTAGTCTGGTTGTTGACAAATCTGAGTTATGAAATTATATCTCCCTTTTAAATGTACACTTACACCTTGCCTACAACATCCCAATGGTTATCTCTGTCTTCCTCAACATCATCTCCCTTGCAAAGGGGCATCTCTAACTATTAGAATTCTATAGTATGTCATTTAACCAGGCTCTGGTCAGTTGCTTTTCTCCTGTTCTTTTTAAAGGACGGGGAAGCTTTATAAAATAAATTAATTATGATGACCAATGTTTATTGTGATTAATATTATGGAGGAACAACGGCCACTCCATAGTTAAGGGTGATAGTAGCTTCGCATTATAAGCCCAACAATTAACCCTCCCAACTTCCCCAAAAAGAAATCAATACCCTTGAAATTTCACATACTGTGTCATATCACTGGATTCATTTTCTGGGAAGCTGTAGTGTTTCAGAAATTTCCATTGTTAATTTTATTGTATTTAGTTCATTTTACTACATCTTGTTGACCTTGCTGTGGTCATAAAGTGTTCTTGACAGGCTCTTTGTAAAGTCTTAAAGGCCTTAGACATTCATGAAGTCAAATATGATTTTTTTTCTTCCTGTTTAGGGGATAATAGTCAGGTACCTGAGCACAAGGAATTATTCATAATATAATATTTTTATTTATGCTTCAGAAAAATAAAAAATTGGACATGCTATGATTAATGATATTTGGTAAATGGAAGTTCAATAAGTGTAAAAGTCTAATTTTCTGCCATCTAGCAAAAATGTTGGACAATTTAGTTTAAAAAGTCTACCTCGAGAAGTAGTATTACGTCCACACCAATCAGCCTTTTACAGTTGTAACAAATACGAACTGCACCACCGTGCGGTAAAGTGTGAAAGGCCAAAATGGCAAACGCATTAAAACACTGGAATGTGTGATAGTGTTAGCTAGCAATGACTGTGATTCCAAGAACGGTTGCATAGCCTCAGGAATTGATCATGCAAACACTTGCTAGCGAACATAGTGTTTACTATCATGAGTAGACCCACTGAAGTGGAAGTCCTACATCCAACAGTAACTGCTGTTTACAACAGTAAGCACTACATCCTATTGACATATGACTACTCAAAGAAGTAAGCACTATGCTCAGTAGTGTTTGCAGGATGGGGCCATCTACAATCTGCAGCGGTGTTGCATTAGAGGGGTGAGGCAAGTTTACCAGGGCTCGAGCGTTGGGATTTGCTCTCTTGTCCAGCAGAAGCTTGGTGACACGATAATGACCACAGTGTGCAGCAACATGTAGGGCAGTCAGGTAATCCAGTGTGACATCATCAACAGGAGCTTTGTGCTGCAGTAGATGTTTGACACATTCCACGTGGTCACCCTGAGCAGCCATGTGAAGCGGAGAGAGTCCATTCTGTGCCAGCAGAAAATACAAGTGTATCAAACTTCCAGTAAAAATCACTCATGATTATATAGTGCCATTTATTCAGAAGAATCCAAACGTGCTTTACGAAATGTATAGGAATAACTTCATCCAGCACTGAAATGCAGCCACCTATGGGATGTAACACTAACACTAACAGTGCACAACAACATCACAGACAGTTGTAAAAGGGAGTGAAAAAGAATGCCATAAACCCATGGCAAATGTGTGGAAAATGTAGGCAGGCAGAATACAGTTATCCAAATATGGAAATTAGCTATAGTGCATTGTCTTGAGAAAAGTCTCATGGTATCTTTAATGTCAGGACTGTGCTTCCCTAGGCTGTGACAAACCTATGCTAGGCAATAGGGTCTGTATTCATTCAGAAGGAAAAGCATCTACTTAATCACCAACACACATACTATAGAACATCTTATTTTCCCTCAAGGTCTCCAACAATAAATACTGGCCAACCCTGACCCTTTTTAGTTTATGAGACCTGATACTCTCACAGCCCATAGAATCATAGAATATCAGGGTTGGAAGGGACCTCAGGAGGTCATCTAGTCCAACCCCCTGCTCAAAGCAGGACCAATTCCCAACTAAATCATCCCAGCCAGGGCTTTGTCAAGCCGGGCCTTAAAAACCTCCAAAGAAGGAGACTCCACCACTTCCCAATGTGGGAAGATGTCATGGACCCTGTGTTACAACTTTCAACAAGGAATTATACGATACAGTTGTAATCATATTTATGTTCTTGGTTAAAATAAATACATAAAGTACAAAATAGTAAGGAACTCAATTACAAACCTTCTATAGGCCTTTTAGTAATTAAACACAAATGAGTCATGCTTTCCCGCATAGTTTACAGAAAAAAGGCTAGTTGAGTATTATTAATAAACCCTGCCATAACATTGTAAATGGTACTGTAAGCAGCAAGTTACCATACACACAAAAGACATGTGGGCTGATTTTCAGAGGTGCTGACCACTCACAATTCCCACTAAAGTCAGTACAGCTGAGTGTGCCTCAAACCTCTGAAAATCAGGGCAATGGTACTTATGAAAGAGTTTGCAAATGTAGGGCTGATCCTGAGAACACTTACTAGGCAAGTGTAGTGCTCACTACCAGGAAAAATCCTGCTACATTTGCTAGTGTTTACTGAATCAGGCTCTAGTATCTGAATATGGCAACACTTTGATGTGCTTAGTTTTTAGGAAATGATCATCAAGTGGTTTGGATGAAAGCTCCAGCCTAATCAACTGCTGGGGATTTTGACCTCTCTCTTGACAAATGTACACAATGGGGTCTTGGTAGAGCTATGCCAGGCAGGCTGCTGTACCACTCTCAGCATTATATATGTCATTTTAAAATAAGACAAAAATTTATAAAATATTGAAGTTCATGGGAAGGAACTGAAGCAAAGTGACTTATTTCTATTTTTCATTCATCTGTCTGTCTCCAATCTGGAACAGCTCCACTGGGGCTGGGGGACTAGAAGGGAAGCTGTCTTTAACACAGGTTTCATTTTACAGGTCAGGTATGATTATGGAATTGTGTATTGATGATGGGAGAATGGAGCGCTCTGTAGGATCCATTCGCTGTACAGATCTTTCATGCCACACCTGTGGCTATGCTTCAGACCAATTGCCCGAGTGATCTCTAGAAGACCCTGGACCAGCTCCTGCCACTCCCTCATCATAATGGAGGGCCCTGACTCAGTGGAACATATATGTTCAAAATTTGGGAAACCAGCAATCGACGTGTGGACTTCTTTTGTGCCACAGCCATTGGCTCCATTGGGGGCTCCTTGCTCCTCAGTGCAAGAGAGATTTTGGGAGAGGTGCAGTGGAGTCACAAAGACATTTATTATTTAATATTTATTTATATTTACTATTTTATTAGCACTGCATGTATCCCGCAGCCATTCTTTCTAGCAGACGAAGAGCACATCGGCCAAAGGAACCAGTGAAGCCATAAGGATTCCTTTGCACATCCCCTCCCAGCTTCTAAACAGACACCCATTGTATAACCTGCCCACACAGGATGCTCACAGGGATCCAAAGTTAGACAGTGCAAATATGTCCATGGCACAGCCCACAGACCCAGGGCAATGAAAGAAGTAAGCTATTTTTAATGTAAAATAGCCAATACTCGTATCGATTTAAAATAGATCACAAGACTGATATCTTCAAACTTAGGTGTCAACAATTAGTCTCCTAAATCCACGTGTAGGCACCTAAAAAAAGTGACCTGCTTTTCAAAGGTGGTGATTAGAGCTAGTCAAAATTTTTCTAACAGTAATTGAAAATACTAATTGTACTAGTAACTAGTTTAAGTTACTAGTTCAATTAGTGTTCAATTACTGTTAATATTAGTTACTAGTTAGCTGAACTGTAACTAAGGAACATTAATGGTAATTAATTTTAATACATTAATTCTAGACAACTCTTTGGCGAGGAGACTCTGTTTAGCTCTATGTCGGCAAAGTGCTTAGCATATTTAGGATGCAATCTGTTATGACCATATCAATCTCTTAAGAACACAAAGACAAAGTGACATTCTCCATTTCTATTCAGACACTTCACATCATTTAATAAGTATGGTTGTCCAGCACCTGTTTTCATCTGCCTTTGATGCAGTATGTAGGATGAGAAATCTATCCTCTGATTGCCAGAGAGAATTTGATTAAAGGGAAGAGGGAATATCCAAAATAAAGAAAGCTTTTATATTAAATGGCTTCACCTTAATTACACTAATTTAAAAAAAAATTGATGGTTGTATATTTATTCATTAATGGGAATACTCTGGAATTGTTTAGTCTACTAAAGGACAAAAGTAGATAAAAGATCAGACAATATAAAGGGAATGATCTTACCCTGACCGAAGAGATGGGATACATGACCCATCTCTAACTTCTATGATTCCATGAAACCACGTTAGTTAATTCCTGTTGTATGGGATGAGAACAGGCCACTTGTCCTGAAAAAGTACTGGTCTATATCACACACATAACCTGTCTCTTAAGAGAAAATGGAGTGATTTTGTTCATGTATGCCAATTCTCCTTATGTTGAAGGTTCAAGTCCCTATTTTCAAGAGAAAAACCTTACTTTTGGATTACTCTATCCAAAATATTTATTCAGTCTAAAGCGTTTCCTGTGGTGTTACTGACATGTCCCTATATCCCTCCTCACCCTTCCAGCGTACCTAGTAATTACTTTGAAGAGTTGTCACTGATATTAATTTGTTCTGTGAATGAGATACTCACCTTGGTCCTTGCAAGCAGTGGGGCACCCCGTTCCAGGAGGAGCTCTACAACCTGGTCATGCCCACTTCGTGCGGCACAGTGGAGTGGAGTCAGTCCATCCTTTAAGCAAAAGGAAAGCGTTAAACATATATCCAGACTGCCCATCTTACTGCTGTCTATGGAACAAACATTCAGAAATCTAGCCCACAAGTTCCTGATACTGAGTGGGTGCTGAGCACCTGCAAATCTTGCAAACCTTCAGCAAAAGCTATCCCTTTTATTAATGTCTAGATGAAACTGACTTAGTAGAATAAAGCTTTACCCCCAGCTCACCCTTGCATCAGTGAAGGACATTCTGGGTTACACCCTGAGAATGGTGGAGAGGAAAAACATTGAGTGTGCAAACCCATTATCAAAGAAGAGATTGCATGCATGCATCTCCTGCCCTCCCCTCACTCCCCGCGTGGCTTTGAAATTGTGCTGCCTCTCCCTGAATACTGTGTGATGGCCGAAGGATGCTCAGCTAATCAACCACAGTGCTTTAATTGCTTTTGATACAGGGATGAAATAGTAAACATCCATGCCAGGAAATTATGCCAGAAAATTTCTAACAAGTAGGAGGAGAGGAAAGACTTTGAGTGGAGGAGAGAAACCAACAGAGAAAAGACTCTTCCTTCCGAGGCTCAATGACAAGCAAGATCTAATAATCCTTTGCTAAACTTGCTGTGACCAGGGCCAGCTCCAGGCACCAGCGAAGGAATCAGGTGCCTGGGGTGGCCAATACATAGGGGCGGCACTCCATCTGTTAGTGGGGCAGCATGTCTGGGTCTTCGGCGGGAATTCGGCAGCGGGTCCCTCAGTCGCTCTCTTCCTCTTTGAGCTCCTGCTGAAGTGCTGCCGAAGAGGAAGAGAGGGAGTAAAGGGCCCACCGCCGAACTGCCGCCGAAGAATGGAGCGGCGCGATTGAGCTGCCGCCGAAGTGCCACTGGTAGACTTTTTTTTTTTTTTAACTTCCGCCGCTTGGGGCAGCAGAAAACCTGGAGCTGGCCCTGGCTGTGACAGCACCATCTCTGAAATTTTCCCTCCATTGTAGAAGACCACCCTGTCCCAAAACACGTGCTCAGGCTGCTCGGTCACTGAACAAAGCAGTGTTAGAGAAAGATGGGTCAATGAAACACTTAGAAAGGAAAGTGCATTCTAGATAATGCTACTACTGTCTGGTCCTTCCCTGAGAGAGAAAGAGATAGCAAATGCAAGCAAATGCAAGGGGGGGGGGAAAGATGATGAAAAAGAATAAAATATCAGTGCTGAATGACAGAAACAAGAAAATCACATAAGATATAAAAAGAAACCCAAATATAGAGAATTTTAACCTTAACAAACCGCAATGCTGTATTACTATACATGCACTCAGATGAGCACTCAATGCATGTTCAATACAGATGTGTAATTGAGATGTTTTCTTTGAATTTAAAGTAATAGAATACACCATTGTGACACCGATTGACTTGCTTGATATATTTACTTCTGAGGGAATTCTGTGCCAAAACATTAAAAATTCTTCACACAATATTTTAAAATTCTGCAAATTTTATTTGTCAAATAAATGTGGCTTCAGCATGGCAACCCACTGGCTGCACTGATGCCCACACCTCCCCCGATACAGGGACTCA